AAATAATATATTTTAATTATTAAAAAAATAAAGAGATATAATACCTAGAAGTTATTTGTAATAAGTACTTCCATGTTTTTCCTAGGCCTGGGTGAAAAAGCCCGTAACCGTTGGGTTGGTCGAAAACCGACCCGAAGTTTGGATTTCAGGTCCGTTGAAATGGGCTTCGAGCCTAGAAAAACGGTTTCAGTGCAAGCTCAAATATTTTTGGGTTGGTGTTCGGTGCCCAAGCCCAGAACCAAAAAACCGAATTGGGCCACCGAACAACCGCACTTTGTTTTCAATGTGAATATTATTATTTTTTATTTCCTCCCCCTCCTTATGCACGTGACACAAGTATATAGGGGTAGGTTATTATTATTATTTTTTTTTGAACATATTTTGCAAGGAGCGGGATTCGAATCCTGTCAGGGGAGAATGCACCGGTGGATAATGTCACTAGGCCTCAAGCGCCAACTGCAGGGGTAGATTAGTTTGTGTGACCTCTATAATTTTATTTTCAAATTTTAAATCATGTTGGGACTCAATTCTAAATATACAATATTTAAAATAAAATACATTGAATTGTTTTTTAAGGGAAAAAATTTACATCATTTTTTTTTTGATATAAATCACTTGGTATTCGAAAGTCCATTGGGTCACCAATTAATCTAAGTTCAAACTGCACAAAACTCAACAAACGACAAAACTTTCTCTCACAAATTTTAACAAAATTGTATTTTCAAAATTTAAAACTAAAACTTTTAGTTAAACTAAAAAAATTTCTTATCGATTCATCCATCTACTCCTAGGTTGCACCTCTAGATCTAAGTATCTAACCCTTTTACGAGTCTACTCTCTCACATTTCAACAGCCACATCCACACTCCAAAATCCACGTTGCTGCGTTTCTCACCGAAAGAAATGATGGCTTCTGTTTTCAAACATGTTCAGCCTCTTCTTTTCTTGTGATATACTACTCCTTAGCTTTTTTATTTTCTTACTATTCTCACAGGGATGAAGGCGACTGGTGTTAGCCGTGGAATGCACAAGAAGTCAAGGCTTAGATTTTGTTCCCTCTTCCTCTTTTTTGATTTCTCTTTCAAATCTTTCATCTCTTTTTTTTCAAATTATCTTGATTTCCTTATTTTCCTTTAACTTTTGACTGCAACCCCAGATTTTAACTTTATGATTAAAGATGAAATTCTTGATAATAGTAGGTTAATAAAAGAAACCTAAGGATGTTCATCTGGTTTTAACTAAAACCGATATTGCTAAAATTAATAAAATTGGTCATCGAGCCAAACAACTGATGTGAATTTTGGTTTGGGTTTTAGGGGTACAACTACAAATAAAAAAATTCAACTAATAACAACAGATATTTATCAATAACTTGTTGATTCGAGTAAAAAAAATTTGGTTTCTCTTAAACAAGATTATGGAAAAACAGGTATTGGGATAACTTTATTCATAATGAGGTCTGACGTGACTCGATTTCGAATTAGTTAAGATTCAATATGATTACAGAATATCGAAAGATTAATAAACAAAAAAAACAACAATGGGCATTTCGGTTTGGTTCTAACCAAACCAAACCGACCCGATACTCATCCCTAGTTTTGCCCTTGCCCCTCGTTTCAGGAGCAAAATTTGAGTGACAAATTATTGATAAAATTTAAATTTTTATCTTTTTAAAAATAGGAATTCTGTCTTGTATGTTTTCCCCGACACGGCGTTGTTCCATTGGACAGAATGCATATAGTACTCGCAGCTGCAGCAAGCACACCGGTATCAACCAAAACACAAACAAACTACAAAAGCACAAAATTTTGCTTCTCGATAATGTAGTCCCGGCTCCGATAGGAGGGAGTCCGACTGAGTTCCGGCGACTATTTTTATACACACACAACGCAAGCGTTCCTCTGAGAATCTGAGTTCCGATGGCCAACTCTCTGAAGAGGTTAGTATCCTGCGTTATCTTCGATTTGGACGGCACACTTCTTAATACAGGTCAACTTCTCTTCCTCATCATCGCCGGAGTTCTATTGCCTTTCTGCTTCTTTTCATTTTCGTGCTTTTTTTTTTTTTTCTGTTAATTTATTTCCATTTTGATGCCAGATGGTGTGGTGAGTAATGTGTTGAGGGTTTTCTTGAGTAAATATGGGAAAGAATGGGAGAGGAAGAAAGCTTTAAAAGCTGTAGGAAAGACGCCTCTGGAAGCTGCAGCTTCTATTGTGGAGGGTTTTGGGCTTCCTTGTGGAAAGGATGAATTTTTGGCTGAAATCACCCCAATCTTCTCTGCTCAGTAAGTAATAATTGCCTGAATGATGGTAGCATGGTGTAGATTTGTGTGGTTCTTGCTGCTCTTGGGGATGTTGAAGTGATTAGTTCTTGCAGAAATTTTCTGAATCTTGTTCTTGCTTTTTGATTGTTTGTGTAGGATTGGCAATATTAAAGCTCTTCCGGGTGCTAATCGATTACTTAAACATTTGAGTCGTAATGGTGTGCCCATGGGTTTGGCATCAAACTCCCCAAGGAAAAGCATAGAATCCAAAATTTCATATCACCTTGGTAAGGTTTCTTAGGAACTTTATTGGGGAGTCTCCGAGATTTTGTTTCAGCTGTTTCCTCATGGTTGCCCCTTTTTAGGCTGGAAGGAATCCTTTTCGGTCATCATTGGTGGTGATGAAGTGACTACTGGGAAGCCATCTCCTGAAATGTGAGTCCAATTGTAACATCCAAGGTGTATGATTAATTTCTCTGAAATATGAAAATCTAGATACTGGTTTCATCTGTTTGGTCTTCTCAACTTTCTCTTCTTTTCCTATTTAAGATTTCTGGAAGCGGCTAAAAGGCTGAATATGGAACCTTCTAGCTGCTTGGTCATTGAAGATTCTGTGTAAGTGAATTCAACTTTTATTACTTGTGCTTTAAACTTTTATTACTTGTGCTTTACTCTGAATTTGATTGATAGTATATAACCTATTACCCCTTTAGTTGATACCTTCTTACCTATTATATTACTGCAAGGATAATCTAATACCTCAATGGAAGAAAATTCACAACCTGACCACCTAAAGATGTGATCAAGTTTATACTTTTCGTCTTTGTCTTCTTTAATTGGAAAATTAAAAATGGTTTGACAAGAATTTAAGACATAACCAGATATATTGGATGGTAATCACATTATGGGGATAGATATCAGATCTGTATTGACTATTTATTTTGTTTAATATGCGTGTTTGGAACATAGTTGTAAACTTGTAATCTTTGATAGTGATGGTGAATGCTTTTGGCTATATCAGGCCTGGTGTTATGGCTGGTAAGGCTGCTGGAATGGAGGTGGTAGCGGTGCCATCTGTTCCAAAACAAACTCATCTTTTCACAGCAGCAGATGAAGTTATCAACTCCCTGCTTGATTTGCAACCCGAAAAGTGGGGCTTACCTCCTTTTCAAGATTGTAAACCTTCGGAAACCTATGTTGTGTCTTTAGTCATGTTTCATAGATGTCTTCTTATAATGATCTTTGTCAGAAATTTTGTTTTGTGGGTGCAGGGGTGGAGCGTACTTTGCCTATAGAACCTTGGTATATAGGGGGTCCCATCATTAAGGGATTTGGTCGTGGCTCAAAATTACTTGGCATCCCTACAGGTGTGTGATAACTGATGAAGGTTATTGGTTATTAATCTAGAATTGTTCTTGATATTGACCTTTGAATGTAATGTCATATCATGAGGTCTGCCTTAACCTTTGTTAATGCATTGTGTTTGTGGCTTCAAGACAATGATACTATGGAATTTCATCTTTATTTCATTTCATTTTGTTGCTCATATATTTGGCTCTATAATTCTATTATCTTTATTTTCTAACAAGAACAATATCAATTTTCAGCCAATCTATCAACAGAAGATCATTCAACTCTCCTTTCAAAATATCCTTCTGGGGTATACTTTGGTTGGGCTGGATTATCAACACGAGGTGTTTACAAAATGGTCATGAGTATTGGCTGGAACCCATACTTCAACAACACCAAAAAGACTATAGTGAGTGTAGCACTGATTTAGATGGTAACCTGTGCTAGTCTTATTTCTATTATCTGAATTCAATCCATGATGCAGGAGCCATGGTTGCTTCATGAATTTAATGAGGATTTCTATGGTGAGGAATTGCGACTCGTTATAATTGGCTATATACGACCTGAGGTACTGATAAACCTTGGCCCTTGTTCTGTTTTTTGCTTTATACAACTTACAAGTACTCTTTCTGAATGTTAGTCTTCATTTGTGTGACAGGCTAATTTCCCCTCCCTTCAGAGGTTAATAGCAAAAATCCATGAGGACAGAAGAATCGCTGAGAAAGCCCTTGATCATCCATTATATTCTAAATACCAAAATGATCCCTGCATAAAAGGCTCTCCGTCAACACAATTGTGACAGACAGTATTGTATTCTCACCATTATAGGATTAGTGCAATCAATACTAACATGGTAGGCATTGACGCATTGTGCATTATTATACGATTGTGAGAAATAATGAAGAAATACAATAATGATTGCACTATGGAGTTCTCCAGCTTAGAATTTCATACAAGGGCTAAGGAAGTGAAATATTATAGCGTTTTTAGAGATTTTGGGTTGCACTATAGAAGTCGCATCCAATGCAATTCGAATTTAGATGTTGTAAATAAATACGAAGGTGGTTTTTTTTTTTTTATTTTCTTAATGTAAAATATTATATTGTTTTATACGAAAGGCATTGTGCATTGATACTGATGATTGAAGGAGTACTATAACCGTTACTATATTCAAAATGAGGTTATTATATTTATGTATATTGTATTTATATAAAATTTTAATTATTTATTTTTTTATTTTTAATAATTAAAATTTATTTTTTTATTATTTTTATTAAAAATAATTATTTTTTATTTAAAAAATTATGATATAAACTATTAATAATAAAGAGATAAATAATTAAAATTTTGTATTAATATAATATATAAAACTTGTATATAAGAGATATCCTTACTCATTCAAAATATATGCAAAGCATTTATGCATTTTTAAACTATATTTAAATTAATCAAGTACAGTAGATCTTGTCCTCTTTTTTTTCTATGTTAAACGTAACAAAAAAATGTCTTTCATATGAATTAGACTACAGAATAAAAGTACAATTTGATTTTTGAACTTTTTAAAATTTAGTGAAACTTTTCCTTTTGTTATTTCATTAATGATATTTTAATAGTTTTAGTACTATGGTTTACTTAAGGGTTTGTTTGATTCACAAAAAACAATTTCATTTTGAAAGATATTTTCTTTTCCAAAGATATTTTTTGATGTTTAGAACACTGAAAAACATTTTAAGGAAAAAACTTTTAAGGAATAAGCATTTAAGGAAAATATTTTTTCAGTATTTGGTAAGTTCTAGAAAATCTTCAACTTTTTAAAATATTAATTAATTGGATATTAAAAATTTTAACTAAACATTAAAAAAATCATATCCACCTTTATTACTTTTAAATTATCTACCATACTATTAAAATAAAAATTTAAAGATCAATCTCCTGTAGAAAAACTTTTTAATTTTTTCTATTGTATGGTAAGCAATGAAAAACTTTAATTTTTTTTTTGTTGTATAAAACTGAGAGTTTATTCTTAAAATACAGAATTTTCCCAAATGTTGAATAAAAAAATTTTATGGTTAAATGCTGCCATGTGGATGCTGATTAGGAATAAAAAGCTTGATGACTTCTATTATAGACACTAATAATGAATATGGAGAAAAGCAATACGACTTATTTGCAATGTACATAAAAGTTAGAGGACTTGATTTAACAAGATTTCTCAAACGTGGCAAAACATGAAACTTCATTGACGGAAACTTTGGGCCGTCCGGCAGTTTTGTGGAAATCGACTTCTAGATTTTAAATCCTGAAGTTAATTTTCAGAAAATTAATTTATATTTTTTATTGACTAAACTTCTTTTTCATTTACTTATTTTCTAAAGAGGATCCAAACATTAAAAAATGAGAAAAATATTTTTTAACAATTTATTTTTTGCGAACCAAACGGGACCCTAAAATGTAAGAACAATGATACATGAGACAAAATAAAAAGACGAAATCATGAGTCGAATCTGAATTGGCATGTCACCTCAGCAAACAAAAGATGCTAGGAATAAGAACCTAGGACTCAATTTTTAATATTTTGCTAAGGTGACATGCCAACTCAGATTCGGTTCATGATTTCGTCTTCTTATTTCATCCTGTATATCATTATTCAAAATGTAATCAGACATGAAAACATGAATCTTTTAAATATAATAATCCTAGTTGCATTTTAATATGGGGGCTATTTAAGTAGATGAATAACAATGGGAGCAGTGCATGAATTATGTAAAACTATGGGCGTCCACCAGAAATACAGACTAAAGGGCCCAATATCCGGGGCTTTGAAAGGAGGTAGGCCCAAACTGGGAAACCCAATGCCATTCTTTACGGTCCAGAGTTCGCACGTCCAAAGCTCCGAAAGCCAGGGCTCCTTTTGGCGGCAACGGTAAACTCCGGGAGTCACCAATGGGAGAGGAGCAAGAGCAACACCAAGCACCGGGGCAGCAGCCGGAATCGCAAGTTGAATCGACGGAAGTTTCGGAACAGAGCCAGAAGGAGTACTCTTGGCCGGTGATTAGCTTCGACGCGCTTCCGCATAGAACCTACCACTTCTACCAGCAGTTCAGGACTAGTCCAAACCCTAACAATTTTCTCAAAGGTGTTAAATGGTATGCATCGTTGCATTTCCTTGCCATACCATTTCTATCTTAAAACTCGTCTGTTCTCTACTTTGTCTCAGCTTGATTCTTGATTTGAATTTGCCGGTTTCGTTTTGGCAGGTCGCCGGATGGTTCGTGTTTCCTCGCGAGCTCAGATGATAACACTCTTTCCATTTTCTCTTTGTAAGTTCTTTGATTTCTATTATTTTTCTGAGCACATCCAGAAAATGTTGCCTGATTTCAAAATGTAGAGTTTTCCTTTAATATTCAAAATGTAGAAGTTAAAAATGCACATGAAAGGATTTTATTCATGTATTTATTGGATTATCTGATGTTTCCTAGTCATTGATTTTTCTTGTTTTGAAATTGTTTTTTAATCAGACCTGATAATGGAAGCAGTGATTATGTTAATACACATTCTTCAATCCCTGCAGAAGGTAAATATATTATTTATTTGTTGTAGAATTTCACTCTTTAATAGTAGGCGTTCCTTTGAGTTTCGAGTTTTAGGTGATGAAATCTTTCATTAATCTGGAAAAAAAAAAAATGTTGAATTGAGTAAGTGATCAATCTAAATTGCAGTGGAACTTATTTTATTTTATCACAATGGAGAAGTGAATGGTTGTATTTGTTAATCTAATTATTCCTAATTTTTTAACATTCCATAGCGTTTTCCTGTCCCATGTTTTATTCCTTTAGATATTTATTTGTAGTATTGTTCTTAACCAACAGATTCGTTTGCCGCGGATCTTGTTGTGAGGGAAGGGGAGTCTGTGTATGACTTCTGTTGGTACCCGTACATGTCTGCTTCAGGTTTGTTCGCAACCTTTCTTTGGCAAAGGATATTCGATATAGATTCTTTTATTAAAAATATGCTCTTCACTATGAGTTACAGTAGCCTGAACTATAGAGTGACTGACAGTATTGTAAAAATTTGATGTGAAAATAACTTGGTATTTCAGATCCTGTTACCTGTGTCTTTGCTACTACAACTCGTGACCATCCAATCCATCTATGGGATGCTACTTCTGGCCTGGTAGTGATTCATTTCGTTGCACACTTGCTTTCTATGGATGAGATTAATGGTGCTGTAGATTTTTTACGACTTGACAGTATTTGAACAGGCAGAAAACTAGTGAGGCCATTCTGGTCTGCTTGATGTTGTCTAGTGTTGGATCTATACCCTCTTTGCTCCACCTTTGTTTAAATTATTAATATATCTTGTCTCTTTCCATTGCAGTTGCGTTGCACATATCGAGCTTATGATGCTGTAGATGAAATAACTGCTGCCTTTTCAATTTCATTTAATCCTGCTGGGACAAAGTAAGTAAAATGATTTTTTTTCCCCCTTAATATATTGAAGAACATTAATTCTGAGGGTCTAAAGTGATATATCCAAACATTTGCTTTCATATTTTAGACTTTTTTAGATGATGCTTCAGTACTTCGCCAGAGTTCTTTGTATTTGTTTTAGTCTTCTACTTGTCTAAGCCTTACGTGTAGTGCACATATCATTCTACAACCAAAGGTCTCAAAACACGTTCTTATTGCTTTTCCCAATTTGGCATTTTTCCCTGTAGGATCTTCGCTGGGTATAACAAAACTATTAGAGTATTTGATGTACATCGTCCTGGTAGAGATTTTGCACAATATTCAACTCTTCAAGGAAATAAAGAAGGCCAAACAGGTAGTTTCTTACTTTAGCTAGTAAGTGAGCCAATAAATGTCTGCTATAACTATGAGGTGTATCATATTGAATGAATTAATCTGTACAGGGATTATTTCGGCAATTGCTTTTTCTCCAACCCATTCTGGAATGCTAGCTACAGGTTCTTACAGTCAGACCACTGCAATATATAAGGAAGATAATATGGAGCTCTTATATATTTTGCATGGTCAAGAAGGTGGGATTACTCATGTAAGTGTGCAGTTATAATCTTTCATTAATTTCCCACTACCATCAGCAAATAAAGGAAAAACATTTTTTCCCTTTCAGGTCCAGTTCTCGAAAGATGGAAATTATCTATATACTGGAGGGCGGAAGGTAATATAGTTTGTACCTTACCATATGTTGTTATGAGTGCATGTATGTTGTTCTGTGCATAATGTTGACTGTGCCTTTTATTAATTTCTTTAGGACCCTTATATTATGTGCTGGGATGTACGAAAGGCAGTTGAAGTTGTGTACAAGTAAGTGCTTTCATGTTATGGGTGATAACTACCATATTTTCTTCTGATGGAATAATCCTAATTTTGGGGAATTGGCATATAAACTACATGCTAGGTTGAAAGTGAAAGAATGCTTTCAATACCCCAGATATAAATTTTTATTTATCCTGAACCTCCAAAGAACTTGTAAACATCTCCATTGCTCTTATGAGTGGTTTTGAAGAAAAAAAGGTAGATAGAGGCTGTATCTGATGTGCTAAAAGATTTGTTAAAACTGTAGCATAAAATAATCAAGCAATAGATTTGTTAAAACAGTACTGGCAAAATTTGCTTCTTGTTACCAGGTTATACAGATCAACAGAGTCAACCAACCAACGGATATATTTTGATATTGAGCCCTATGGCAGATATCTTGGTACAGGTGGTCAGGTAACTTTTTGGTTTCTATTCTTCTCTTCATGCTACCATATTCTAGAAAAAGTTGGTTATTTGTTTTCTGACTTATATGAGATTCCTTTCCAGGATGGCCTTGTTCATATTTATGATCTACAAACTGGCCAGTGGATATCAGGCTATCAGGCTGCAGCTGGTTTGTTATATAACTGTCAATAATAATATTGAAAAAAAAGAAACATTTTTTGATTCTGTGATATATGTATACTGTTTCTTACACTTTGCAGACACTGTGAATGGTTTCACTTTCCATCCACTCTTGCCAATGGCTGCTTCTTCATCTGGCCACAGAAGATTTCAAATTCCAGAGGAAGACACTGAGGAGTTGTTTCTTAGGGGTATTTCCAATAATACCGATAATCAAACTCCTCTCTTGATTTTACGCTTTAAAACTGTTACTGAATACTTGTTCATGTTATAGCATAAATATTGTTTCATTTATACATGAACACCGCACATCAATGACGTCTTTTTCTGTTTTGTGTAGGTGATGAAAACTGTGCTTCTGTGTGGAGTTTCTCTTATACTTCAATGGCAGAGAATAGTGCAGGTATGAATGCAGGTGATTTCAACTCACAATCTGAAAATGAAAACGTCCACTGTGATTCTTGATCATCCCGCAACAGAAGATACACTTGCTATCTTTTATTTCAGCTCTTTTTGATGAGATATTGCCTGCCTAATCCTTAAATTATAATATTTAATACAGATCATGCAAAAAAGTCTGTTGGTGGGGCAGAATCTCATGTTCATTATTTGCCTATGTATGTCCAAAATTCAATCTGTGTAATTGGATTTCAAGCAAATTTACATCCATCACATTGTTTAAAATTTAAATCTAGGATGTCCTGTTTGATCCTTTTCTCCTTTTGAAAGTCAGGAATCATATAGAGAGTTTAGGAAAATGCTCCTCATCTGGCTTCTTTGCTTTCAGAACTCCTAACTCATCCATTTGTGTACTTTTAAGCTACGAATCAAAGCATTTTGTGCATCGTGACTCTTTCTTACACGTGACTAATGAATTGCGTAAGTCAGAAGGAAAAGGGAGAAATATCTGCAGGTATTGCTATAGTTATTAGTTAGAGCCTACTCCTTGGTTGCCAGAGTGAAACAGAATGCTAAATTAAAAAAGGGAAACAAGTAAAGCCTTCACGGTTTTAGTTTGGGGAATCCGAAAATTCATTGAATGATGGGTTATGCAATAGGAGATAATCCTTTTCTTTTCAAATCCCTTTCTACTCATCTCAGAATTCAAACTTGAGATTTTCAATGTAAAGATCTAAGTTCTTAACTATTGACATTTACCCTAGAGAGCATCCTAAATTATTGTTAAGCAATAGGCATTCTAGCACTTTTTTATCCGTTCGATAAATTGGTCTGCCTAAGTTCTGCTGGTAAACAAAACATTCAACAATGGTACAATTAAGTGACTACTAGCCAGTGCACATTATTATTAGCAAAATTGGTATGCATATGCAAACCATAAATTGGTTTTAACATATTCATCTTTCTTGGCAAATCAAGATGCCTAACACTTAATGAGGTGACTCAACTAATTAAAAACTCGAGAATTCAAATTGAAGATTTTAAATTAAAACTTTGAGTCGGGTAAGAAAGGATATATTTTTTTTAAAAGGAGAGTTATCTTTTTTTAGATAACCATTATTATATATACCAAAAAAAATAAAGATGCCTAATATGCTCTTAAGCATTTAATTATGTTACGGTTATGCGGCGACTCGATAACATATTATCATCTGCTTTTATATAGTTTATTATCAAACGTGCTAAAAAAAATATCTAATATGCTCCTAACCATTTAATTATGGTATGATTATGTGGCAACCTAATAATGTATTATCATAATTACCTTCAAATAATGCACCAACCCTTTGGCAAAGTTGGCATGCTATATCACTAATCCATTGAAAACGTGGCTAGCAACAGGTTCAGGCCAGCTAATTACATTCAAAACTATGAATTTGCATTTACTTAGAAATATAAAAGTAGCATACAAAAAAATCCCCCTTTTTGTTGTCATCCTCCACATCCTTAAGGGTGTAGAAAACAAAATCATATTTTCTTTCTCCTGCTTTCCCCTTCTTACCTTAAAAACAGTTACTGTAAAAGCAAAAATTAAAATCCCTCTTAAATAGGCTACCAAAAATCACCCTTTACCTACCCACCACATTCAATGTAATGAAGAGGGCACATAAGACATTTCACCACTAATTTTAACACCCCTCATGTATTCCAAAATGCTAAATAAAGTAAAACGACGGTCATGAAAGGCAAGAAACGACAGTGGTTTTGGTCTTGGCACCAACCAAACGGCGCCGTTTTGTTACCCTTTGAGCTAATATCTTGGTTTCTTGGTCAGCTATGACTGCCACGTCACTGTTTAGCTGTTGTTGCCATACTGAGCACTGGCCGGGAAGAGCCCCTCCCCTGGACTGCGAAAAGGCAGAAACAGATGAAATTTCACTACGAATCATCATTTATAGATTCATATTGCCATAATTAAAAAACACTATAAAAAAATACTAACATAATACAATCTAGCAAAAATCTTCTCCTTCTTCATTCAAAAAAAAGAGCTTCAAAGCTGTTATCAAATTTTCTCTAGAGAAAAAATTTTTTTTTTCTTTGATTTTTCTTTGTTGAATTGAATTGAATTGAATTGAATTAATTCAATGTCTGCTTCTAAACAATCCTCTGAAATCGTGTTATTCGAACCCCCGGCGAAGAGATTTCGGGGTATGGAAGAGGAAGATGATGAGGGCAGGAGGGATGGCACTAATCCTGCGTTGAAAGTCATGCCGGAAGATGTTATTCATAATATTTTTTCGTTTCTTCCCATCAAAGACGCTGTCCAAACAGGAATCGTATCGCCGAAGTTTCGAAGGTCGTGGCAGTTCTGTCGCCATTTGAATTTCGGCACAGAGTTTGCCAGAGGGAAAGCACGACCGGAGTACATGAGTATAGTGGACAAGGTGTTTCAACTCCACTCTGGATCTAAGATTCAAACTCTCCGTTTGTGTTTTATTCCGATCGAGGTTGAAGCCATGGTGGAAAACTGGATCAGGCAGGCGATCCAGAAAGAGGTAGAGGAGCTGGAGCTGAATTTCCTCCAAGATAAGACTCGCTACAAACTTCCTTCGGAATTCCTCGACGTTCCGTCCCTGAAAGTTTTGAGGCTTTGTTGCTGCGAAATCGATCTCTCTCCGGACGTTCAGGGATTGCGCTTGTTGCAAACCGTCGTCCTTCGGAAAATCCAACTCAAGCTGAAGATGATCGATACGGTGTTCAAAACCTGCAATCTCCTCGAGAGTTTCGACATGACGGAGTGCTATGGCGCAGCTGGTCGTCTGAAGGTTTTTGCTGATAATCTGAAACGATTCAAGGTGCTGAAAGTTGGAAATTGTAAGGATCTCTTGGAGATTCAAATCATCAATGCTCCCTATTTGCATACCGTTTTCTACCAAGGAAAATTCATCCCCCTCAAATTCGAAAACACTCCGTGGTTGAATAATGTCATGATAAATTTCTCAAAACCAAGAGGTTTCACCAGATATCCTCAAATCGGGAATCTCGCCAACGATCTCTCTCGTGTGCTTACACTCACTGTCTCCAGTCCTTTTGTCGAGGTATACTGTACACCATGCCCTAATCAGATTGATATTCAAGAAATTCAAACTCAAAACTTCTATAAAAAAGAAAAAAAATTTGAACTTGAAACTTCTCAAAGCATTATGATAGTGAAAGTCTTTTCATTTTTCAGTGAAATGTTTTATTATTTAAATAAATTCATTCATCATTCTTAAAGATAATTGGAGTGTGAATTATTTTCTTTTCGTTACAGGAACTCTCCTCCAGTATGGTATATGGGTTGCAATTTGCGTTCCCCTATCTGAAGGAGCTGCAACTCATCATGGAAGGCACAAGGTACTGCAATGTGTATGATATTGCTTGTCTCCTCGACAAATGCCCATCATTGGAAAGGCTTTTTATTGATGTAAGTTTATATTATTCATAAAATTTCATCAAAAGAAAATTTGCTAATCAAGCCACCTTAAAGATATGGAAACCCTAACTATTTCTTTTGCAGTTTAATGGATGCTCTTTTGAAGGCGGAAAGTATTGGAAATTACACCAAAACCATATGATAAACAAATTCATGAATAACTTGAACAGCCTGAAGCTGGTAAAATTAAACGGTTTTCGATTCCTCGAGCATGAAGCGGAGCTGGGGAAATTTCTTATGGAGAGAGCCAGGTTCATAGAGGTTTTACTTCTTATAACCCCACAGAACAGTCGTATCAAAATCAACATTCCTGACGCCATACATTGCCATTCTTTATTCATGCATTGGAAATCTCCAAGGACCAAAATTGTTGTCTTAGAACATCTCCATGATACCAACTGGATTTGTCCCAGTCAACCGAAGATCTGGTATGATAACCTCAATCTAGTTTAAGCTTAAAAGCTAACTATCGCTATTCGGAAGATAAATATGCTTGGTGAGAACTGATTCCGAGCTGGTGTAACAGGGATTTATTTTGAATATAGGAAATGTAAAAGTTTCTAAAGCATTCCCTCAGCCTTAATTATAAATCCCCTGCGTGGGAGAAATATAAAACTGTAGAACTCAGTGAGTAATTGTGTTTGGTTTAGAAGGGATTGCCTTTCTATGTTTCCTACATTTTAATTGTACCTTTTTTGTTACATTGGAGTTATATATATCTCCCTATGTTATTGAGTTTTATATATCATTGTGTTTCTCATATTGGTTAATTACATACATTAGTTATTGATCATTGTGTACGTTGCTAATACTTGCTTGTTGATATCCTACCCTCTAGTAGGGCATCTAGTAAAGTTAATATTGTAACATGCAATCTTTGATAATTTTTGTCACTGAGAGATGCTAAGCAAGAGAGTGTGTGTGTATAAAATTTGTTATTAGTACTTTCATTGATCATAAGATCTATTCGTCAATATGAATCAAGCATATATATGTATGTATTCTCACACTAACGTGCATATTAACTCTCATATTTCACAACCTATTTCCTAGCTAGCAAAGTTGTTATTTATAGTGTGACGTTTGTGGATTTTCATCACTAGAAAATGATAAGCATAAATACGTAATATATAGATCTTTTCTTCTTTTTTGGTAATTCGTTATTAATCATTACTAGTCATTTCTTTTTTTTTCTTTTTTTTTTTTTCAACAATTCGTTAATCGTTATTAGTTGCCCATCATTAATTCATTCTAAAAGTGGAAAAATTAACTTTAAGGATTAGTTAATTTCAAGATCATATGATTGGTTGGTCACCATAAATCAAGCTACAAGGAGTATCCTTATAAAGTGGGTATTAACTCTCATATTTCACAACCTATCTCCTAGCTAGCAAAGTTGTTATTATAATGTGATGTTTGTGAATTTTCATTACTAGGAAATGGTAAGCATAATGAATAGATGGATCTTTTCTTCTATTTTGGCAATACATTACTAGATTACTAGTCGTTATTAATTACCAATTGTTATATGGATCTTTTAACAATTCGTTAGTTGTTATTAATTATCAATCGTTATTAGTTACTAGTCGTTACTTCATTCTAAAAATGGAAAATTTAACTTCAGGGATTAATTAATTTCAATATCATATGATTGGTTGGTCACTATGAATTAACTACAAGGAGGTACCTTCACAACGTGCATATTAACTCTTATATTTCACAACCTTATTTCCTAGCTAGCAAATTAAGTTGTTATTATAATGTGATGTTTGTGAATTTTCATTACTAGGAAATGATAAGCATAAGTAATATATGGATCTTTTCTTCTTTTTTGGCTATACATTACTAAAGTACTAGTCTTTTTTTTTTTTTTTTGGCACTTTGTTACTAATAGTTATTAGTTACTAGTCGTTAATTCATTCTAAAAATGATAAAATTAACTTTGAGGATTAATTATATATTTTCAATATCATATGATTGAGTGATCAATTTGAATTAACTACATGGATGTATCCTCATAACGTGCGCATATTAAGCAATTACTCTCATAGATATTTCATAACATATCACTCAGCTTTAGTAAAGTTGTTATTATAAAATGTGATCTTGGTCAATTTTCATTACTTGGAAATGATAAGCATAAGTACATGATTCTTTTCTTTTTGCAATTCTTTTGGGCCGTTTATTCATACCAATAATGGAAAGATTAACATCGAGGATTATATAAAGTGCATGATCATTAATTTCATTCATAATCATAAGATCCATTGGTCAATATGAATCAACTACATGGACGTTTCTTCATAATATGCATAGTAGCTCTCATATTTCCTAACGTTATGTAAAGATGTTATTATAACGTGTTCTTTGAGAATTTTCATCACTAAAAAATGATAAGCACAAATAGTTCTTTTTTTTTTTTTTCGACAATTCATTATTAGTTGTTAGTTCACTAAAATATGATAAGCATAAATTTTAATGTAACAAAAAAAGGTATATACAAATACCCTTGTATTCCCAATTACAAGAATAAATACATTTTTTTCTGTTCAAAAAATATATATAAACATAAGTAAGATATGATTATTTTCTTCTTTTTTTTTCTGATAATTTGTTATTCTTAGTTAATTAGTTTATTCTAATACATAGTGAAGGGCGTGACCACTACTGTCATTGATCCTATAATCAATTAGTCAATATGGATCAACAAGATGTCTGCATCTTCGTACTTTCGTGCATGTTATATTGCTATTAGCTCTTGTTTCTCATAGCCAATCTCAGCTAGCAAGCTAGTAAGATATGGTAGTAAATATTATAATTTGTGATCATTGCAAAATTTCGTCTGTAAGAAATAATAAGCGTGTACATAGATATAGTAGTTAACTAGGGATTTTCAACACTTCGTTATAAGATGTTACTTATAAGAAAAATGATTGATGCATCTTTTGGTTTAACACATCTAACAACATATTTTAATTCAGTTATTAAAATTTACCTTTAAAAATTTTTTCACCTTAAATTCAAGTTTAAAAATATTAATTTCTTAATAAATGAACCGAAATGTGTTGTATAGTGTATTAAATTAGAGGGTGTATTAATTATTATCCTACTTATAATTCAATCAGTAGTAGAGTAAGTAATATTTTTCAGGCGGGCAAAATATAATATTGAATAAGAAATGATGTTTTTATATGTAAATGATAAAGTCAGTAAAAGAGAAAATTTTAAAAAAGTATTATAATTAAACAATTTATTAGTTTTCAACGATAAATTAATAGTGGCTGATGAAGTAATATAATGCGATATTAAAAGACAAAATGAACATATATGATGAGTAGAAGAACACTACTGTAAAAAGGCAAAGCAAAAGATTATTAGTAAACATTGTGTGAAAGGACAATATTGAATAATTTTCATTCAATTAATGTTTATTTTTCATCTATCAAATTATCTATATTTTCCTTAACTTTCTCATTATCACTTAAAAGTAATCTTCAATAATAAAAAAAAATGAATAAATGAATAATAAAATTATTTAGGATAAAAAATAATAAAAATATAATGTAGGGGACCAAACTTACAAATTTTCAAAAGCTTATCCCTCATCCCAAAAATTGCATTAGTTCAAAAATTATTATTATTATTATTACTAATCTTGTGCCATCTGAAAATCATGTTAAAACCCAGCTAATCCAAAATTAAATTACGTTAAATTTCATAAAAGAAAAACTCTTTCAGTATCTATTTTTCAATTTACAAAACTTTTATTTAAGTAAACCAAAAATTTTCAACTCAAACCAACAATCTTTTATTTAGATCGACAGATCATTATTGCTGTTGTTATTATTATTATTTTTTATTTTTATTTTTACTAGTCTTCTACTA